ATCATACCGGTACCAGAGAACCTGGGGACCAAATTAAGGAGTGTGGAAAGAAGCCCACCTTTCCACGGAGTCAACGTCCTCTCCCGACACCAGCCCACAGCGACTAACCGTTCCCCAGGGAAGACGTCGGTGGAGCTGAAGCAGCTTAAGAGGAAGCTGGGGGTCTACAAGAAGCTGCAAAAACCCGGAACTCCTCCTTCGGATGCATCCAACTTGGCAACTTCGTCAAGGACACGAACAATCGTCACGGAAACCCCGGGCCCTGGAGAAGAGCCTTTCTCCAAGCAGCCTTGGCCAGCTGCCAGCTCAGGAGTAGGAAGCAACGAATACTGGGATATACCCTATGACCCAATAAATGATACTACCTTTGGGTGCTCCGAGCATCACCTGCCCCTCGTGCTCGAGGTCATCTACAAAGGATGACGCCTCCAAGCACTCGAGGACAACGTAGCATCGCACACCGTATGCAACAAGGCAGTAATCGACCGACATCAAGAAGAGTACAAACTTTCAGCGTTTTCTGCAACGATGGTGGACAGCAACAAGTTACCAGTGTACGGCGAAGCAGTGCTCCACCTACAAATCGGGCCACTGTGCTGGAAACCTACTCTCCCCATCACCAACATAAAAGGGCTTGACCTGATCTTCGGGCGAGACTTCCTCAAGAAATTCAACCCCGAGATCTGTTGTATGATATCATCATATGCTATCACATTCTGTCTGCCTCCCATCCCTTGTTTCAATTCGCATGTATGGTTTGACTGTATGTGAAAGAATTTGTGTGGTGTGTGTTCTGGAGTTTGGGAATGTGTCTTGTGTTATTCTGTCTGAGCAGGTATTTGTGATAATAGATCTTGAGAAGATCTTTCCGACGCAACAAGAATCGCTTCAATCCGAGCAAGAATGCGAAAGCTATGAAGATTCAAAGTTCATGAGCTTGCGTTACAATTGCGGCGGTTACAAAGTGAAGTTGTGGGGTGACTCTATATGGAATTGGGACCTTTGGGGTTGGGGAAATTTGTCACTCTACTGTAACAGCTGCAAATTGGTTGGGAACAACCAAGCTAGGTTGGCAAGGGTGGCCAACTTGGATAGATTGGTTGGGAAGGGACAAATGTCAAAGTTGGGGTTCCTATAGGGGGGGAATCTTTGTGCTTATGGGGTTTCCCATGTTGGGGACTCTCTTCGGACATTCCCTCTCATCCCTCTCTTCCATCCCAACCTTTCTCTTGCTCCTCTAATTCCTTGTGAGATTCTTGAACTTTGATTGAACTTTTGAGATTGAGTTAAGTTCTCCTCCTACAGCTTACCCCCCAGTGCGTCGAAAGACATAGCGTCGCGAATACTCCATCAATCGACGTGATTCAAATTGAGAACGGTAGCTAAGATTACAAGCTACAACATACCGATTTTTGCGACATTCCAACGGCTAGTTTTTCGTCGACGTCGTTTCTTGTGAAAACGACTTTTCTGTCCAGAATTTCGGATTTATATTTTGAGTAATTCTAGCTCCTAAGTTCACCTAGATTCCGTCCTTAATCCTAACATGTGGTATCAGAGCTGTAAAAAGACATTAAGAGGATTCTACAGAAGTTTGAAGACCCTTCTAGAACCACCATGGCCTGTGGGTGTGCCTGAGTGGTGTTTTAAAGGTTGGATGTGTCTTCCGTGAAGGGGAAACTCTGTCGAAGTTTCGTGGACGCCGACACTTGTGAAAATATCGAGGGAGCTGAGTGTGGACAGCAAAGGGGAGCTGAAATTCGTCATTTCTCAAGGAGAAGATGAATGAGAGATGAGGAGATGCTAATGGAAGAGGAGCTGTACCTGAGAAGACAAGTGAGCCGCCGCCATCAAAAGTTGAAGCTTTGGATGGCTCCAACTATGAGGAATGGAGCGGGCGGATGAGGAGTGCCTTCAAACGCTACAAGCTACTGAAGATTGCTGTTGGGAAGGAGAAGATGCCGGAAGAAGGCGAAGCACGTGAACGGTGGATTGAGAAAAGCGCGGTGCTTTTCGACCTCATTCTTCAATCGGTCAACAAGGAGATGTTCGAGCACATCAAGTATCTTGTTGAAGCGGATGATTCGGGTCCAAGGGCGTGGAAACTGCTGCGCGATGTGATTCAGCCCAACACTCTCCGGATGGTGATCGTGCTCGAGAAGGAACTTGCTGCCATCTCCATGCGACCAGGGGATGATGTGAAGCCAGTCCTTGACAAGATCAAGGACACCTATGCAAGGATGGCAGCAGTGGGCAGCAGTGTATCTCAGCTGCAGCAGTGCACCAAGATCATCTCGGTGTTGGACAACTCTTGGGACAACCTCATTCCCACCCTCAACTCTCAGCAAGATCAATGGACACCTGAGTGGCTAAGGCAGCATATTCTGCAGGAGGACTTCCACAGACGCCATGTGGGAGGTGGTGCTTCCACTAAGACTGCTGAGGGGTATGGAGCTGCAGGGCGCGGCAGAGGAAGAGGGGGTTGGAGAGGCCGAGGCCGTGGGAGGAGCTTTGGCAGAGGTAGAGGCCGAGGTGACTATAATGAGGGGCATGGGAGCTCTAGTGGCAGGGGGAGTACCAGAATGGAGGGCACCTGCTGGTACTGCAAGAAGGTCGGGCATACTTGGTTCAAGTGCTTCAGCAGGCCGGAGGGATGGGCACCTCCAGGCATGAAGCCGCCAAGTGGTGAATCGCACAAGGTGGCGCTGAAAATTGCTCAGGTGCACAAGGTGAAGGTGCACAAGGTAATCCCAATCCTGAGATGTTTCTTATGGTTGAGGATGTGCATGGGCATGAGGGTGATGTAGGGTCTGTGGGAAAGGTTGTGATGCACCCTCTCATGCACTGGGTGATTGATTCAGGTTGCACCAGTCACATGACCCCACGGGCAGATTTGCTTGATGTGGTAAAACCCCCTGGGAAGATTAAGTATGTGGCAGCAGCGTTAGGTGCTTTGCTCCCTGTCATTGGTGTTGGGAATGCCAAGGTTAAGGAAGCTAATGGGGAACTTGTGGGGCTTGGGAATGTTCTGCTGGTTGAAGGTCTGTCTGCTAACCTTCTCTCTGTGCGGCGGCTGCATAAGAGTAAGGCCGAAGTGACCTTTGGACCAACCAGCTGCCGTGCTAAGCTTGGGAAGAAGGTGCTGTGGAGTCTGGAAGAGGAGACCAGCTGCATCAAGGACCTATGGCAGCTGCCCATCATCCCTTGGAATGGGAAGACTCCAACAGCAGCAACGACAGCAGCGACAAAGGCAACAGCAGGAGGAGATGCAACTACACCAACTGATGGGGTCTTGGAAGCAGTCAAGAATGTGCAGCAGCAGCATTCACATGGTGAGGTGCTTGCTGGTGTGGATGCGAGTGCGGTATGGGCTAAGGTTTCATCAAGGAGTGGTGAGGCGGATCGGAAGACATGGCATGAGAGGCTGTGTCATGTGAATTTCCCTATGCTGTAGAAGTTGGTGAAGGATGGGAGCCTGAAGGGCTTGGAGGTGAAGGGGGGAGTGAAGGAGATTGGGAGCTGCCCTACATGCTTGGAGACCAAGTTCTCCAAGTTCCCCTTCAACAGCACTACAGGACCAGCCAAGACCCCACTTGCACTTGTGCACATGGATGTGGTGGGGCCCACAAGAGCTCCTTCCCTCTTAGGCAGCCACTATTTCTTGACAATTGTGGATGACCACACTCGGGCGGTGTGCATTTACCCTTTGAAGAGCAAGGGGGAGGTAGCAGCAGCTGTCCTTAAAGAGGGGATGCCTAGAGCTCAGAGGGAATGCGGACACAAGGTGAAGGTGATCCGCAGTGATTATGGTGGGGAGTTCATTGGAGCTGATTTTGAGGGGGAGTTGAAGAGGAAGGGGATCCAACATCAACTGACAGTGCCCTACAACCCGCAGCTGAATGGCGTGGCTGAGAGGTTCAACAGGACCCTGCAGAAGGGGGCACGCACTCTCCTTGGGCGTGCAGGGCTGCTTGATCCGTTTTGGGTGTCTGCACTGAGGCAAGTCGCCCTTGTGAAGAACAGGGTGCTGGCTACAGTTGGGGATAAGGAGTGGATCCCATATGTCAAGTGGTATGGGAGTGCTCCAGCTATGAACATGCTGAGGGCATTTGGGTGCATGGTGGTGTTTCACGTGCCCAAGGAGAAAAGGGGGAAGTTGGAGGCTTCTGGAAGATGGGGTGTGCACTTGGGGATTGCAAAGGATCACAAGGGGTGGCTGCTATGGGACTTGACCACCAAGAAGCTGACTGTGTCAAGGGATGTGAAGTTTCTTGAGTCCTTGTACTACAAGGAATGGAAGCAGCAACAACAGAAGCTTCCATCTACACCGCTCATTGTGGAGGCAGATGAGGTGCAGCGGCCTTCAAGACAGGTGGAGGTTGCAGTGTCTGAGGAGGAGATGTCTGGGGTGACTGAGGAAGGGGGAGCAGCTGAAGTGGAGCAGCAGCAGCAGCAGTCTGAGTCTCCACCTCGAGTTCCACACCTGCCTGAGCGACCTAGGAGGGATGTGCGCCCTCCGGTAAGGCTGACCTATGGGGGAAGAGGCAAGCCGAATGTGGTGCAGGCTGGGAGTGTGGTTGGGCAGATTTAGGAAGATGAGATCACTCACTGCTACTGGGCACCAATCCCTGAGCGCAAGATTTGAGAGGAGGCCTTGAACGGACCAAATGGGGAGAAGTGGAAGGCGAGTGAGGATGAGGAGTTCGGGTCCCTGATTGAGAACGAGACATGGGACCTATGTGACTTGCCTCCTGGGAAGAAGGCAATCACTTCCAAGATGATCTACAGGCACAAGTATGGACCTGAAGGGGAGCTGACCCGCTACAAGTCTAGGCTTGTGGCACGGGGGTTTCAGCAGACAAAGGGGAAGGATTATGATGAGTTGTTTGTTCCTTTGGGGAAAGGAATAACACTTCGGGTGCTGCTGGCGATAGCTGCACTCCTGGGATGGAAGATACGACTGATGGACATTGTGACTGCCTTTCTGAATGGGATCATTCTGGAGGAGGTGTACATGAAGCAGCCAGAGGGGCTGGATGATGGGGGCGGCAGGGTCTGCACGCTGAAGAAGGCCATCTATGGCCTTAAGCATGCGCCTCGTGCATGGTATCACAAGTTGGAGGAGGCGCTGTTGGCTGGGGGTTTCAAGAAGAGTGAGTGTGACCCCAGCCTGTTCCTGCTGCAGGAGAAGGGTGAAATCCTCATGCTCTTGGTGTATGTGGATGATATCCTTCTGTTTTTTGCATCAACTGCTTTGCTGGACAGCGCAGAGCAGATGTTGGAGATGCAGTTCAAGTGTTCCAAGGTGGGTGAGGTGAAGTACTACCTGGGGATGCATGTGGAGAGAGGTGTTGATAAGGGTGTGCTGAGGTTGCACCAGAGGAAGTACTGTGAGGGGCTGGCTGAGAAGTATGGGCTGCAAAATGGGGGAAAGCCAGCAACACCACTACCTTCCGGGTTTACTGTGGAGCCATGTGCTGATGAGGAGGTAGTGGGTGAGAGTGACAGGAAGCTGTTTCATTTTATGGTTGGGTCGCTGAATTATGCTGCAAATCATACACGGCCTGACATTGCATTTGCTACATCACGGTTAGCTAGTGTGGTCTCACGCCCTAGTCTTGAGCAGCTGGAAGCGGCCAAGAGGTTGGTCCGCTATGTGAGCGCTACGGCATCAGTGGGATTGGAGTACAATGGAGTGAGGCAGCGATTGCAGAGAGGTGCTGCAGATGTGAAGAGTGGAGAGATGCTCTTGAGTTGCTATATTGACGCTAGCTTCAATTCAGTGAAAGCGGATGGCACCAACATTGGGGGTTATGTGTGCTTGCTAGGAGGTGGTGCTGTGAGCTGGCGCAGCAAGAAGCAGAATGAGGTGGGATTGTCCTCAGGTGAGACTGAGTACATGGCCTTACACCATGGGGTCAAGGAAGTGGTGTGGCTGAGGCGTTTGTTGGAGGAGTTGGGAGTTGGTCAGGAGGAGCCGACAATTGTGTTTTGTGACAATGAGTCTGCTGTGAAGCTCGCCAAGAATGCTTGTCTGCATGGGCTGACAAAACACATAACGCCTAAGTGGCATTGGGTGAGGAGACTCCTTGATAAGGAGGTGCGGCTGGAGAAAGTGAAGACCCATCAGCAAGCAGCAGATATTTTCACTAAACGTCTGGCGGAGGCGAATCATTGGAAGGGCATGAAGCTTGCTGGGATGAGTGTGCATTGAGTATGCATGCTTGAGATGCTGGTATGGTGGATGATGGTTGGCAGCCAGAGGGGGAGATTGTTGTGTGATGTCATCATATGCTATCACATTCTGTCTGCCTCCCATCCCTTGTCTCAATTCGCATGTATGGTTTGACTGTGTGTGAAAGAATTTATGTGGTGTGTGTTCTGGAGTTTGGGAATGTGTCTTGTGTTATTCTGTCTGAGCAGGTATTTGTGATGATAGATCTTGAGAAGATCTTTCCGACGCAACAAGAATCGCTTCAATCCGAGCAAGAACGCGAAAGCTTTGAAGATTCAAAGTTCATGAGCTTGCGTTACAATTGCGGCGGTTACAAAGTGAGGTTGTGGGGTGACTCTATATGGAATTGGGACCTTTGCGGTTGGGGACATTTGTCACTCTACTGTAACAGCTGCAAATTGGTTGGGAACAACCAAGCTAGGTTGGCAAGGGTGGCCAACTTGGATAGATTGGTTGGGAAGGGACAAATGTCAAAGTTGGGGTTCCTATAGGGGGGGAATCTTTGTGCTTATGGGGTTTCCCATGTTGGGGACTCTCTTAGGACATTCCCTCTCATCCCTCTCTTCCATCCCAACCTTTCTCTTGCTCCTCTAATTCCTTGTGAGATTCTTGAACTTTGATTGAACTTTTGAGATTGAGTTAAGTTCTCCTCCTACAGCTTACCCCCCAGTGCGTCGAAAGACATAGCGTCGCAAATACTCCATCAATCGACGTGATTGAGAACGGTAGCTAAGATTACAAGCTACAACATATCCGATTTTCGCGACATTCCAACGGCTAGTTTTTCGTCGACATCGTTTCTTGTGAAGACGACTTTTCTGTCCATAATTTTGGATTTATATTTTGAGTAATTCTAGCTGCTAAGTTCACCTAGACTCCGTCCTTAACCCTAACAAGATCAACTGGGTAAACCGCACCGCGAGCATCTACAACAAAGGAAGAAGAGTCCAGCTACCCAACTGGGATGATATTGGAGATATCCCAGTAGAGACACTCGCAAGATTCGAGAAGGACGTCAAGCGAACCGACTCCGGATTCCTGGCGATAGCAACAGAGGTGGAAAATGACGGAGAGAAAGCCTCGGAACCTCCAGAACAAATCAAGGGATTACTGAAGGAGTTCCAAGACATTCTTCCCGACGACCTCCCGGATGAGCTACCGCCATATCGAACGCACCAACACGAGATCGTGGAGGAACCAGGCTCGAAACCAACCTTTCCAGCACCATATCGGCTAAGCCCCACTGAACTAGCTGACATGAAGAAGCAAATCGAGTATCTCTTCGCCAAAAGACTCATCCGACCATCCACTTCACCATCCGATGCCCCAGTACTCTTCACACCGAAACCGGACGGAAGCCTGCGCATGTGCATCGACTACCGGGCTCTCAACAAGCAGACCATCAAGAACAAGTACCCAATTCCACGAATCGATAACCTGCTTGACCAGCTTCAGGGAGCCACGGTATTTTCAAAACTAGATCTGTGGTCCGGATACTGGCAGAAAAGAATGGCGGACGATTCCGTTCACAAAACGGCCTTCCGAACTTGGTACGGATCGTACGAGTATCTGGTGATGCCGTTAGGACTCACCAACGCACCAGCAACGTTCCAAGCAGAGATGAATCACATCCTACGCCCACTCTTGGATGAGTGCGTGGTGGTTTACTTGGACGACATCCTCGTCTACTCGCGCGACATGCAACAACACGTCGAACACCTACGACGAGTCTTCAAGATTCTTCGACGAGAACGCTTCTACGTCAAACTATCCAAGAGCGACTTCGCCCTCGAGAAAGTCCAATTCCTCTGACATATCGTAAGCGCTCAAGGAGTTCACGTCGACCCCAAGAAAATCGAAACCGTGCGTACGTGGAAAACACCCAAGAACGCGAAGGAGTTACAGTACAGCACTTCCTAGGCTTCGCAAACTACTACAACAGGTCCGTGCCACAATACGTGAAAATCGCCGCGCCACTCACGAATCGCTGAAGAAGAACACCCCCTATAAGTGGGAACCACAATACCAAGAGGCCGTGAAGCAACTTAAACAAGCACTCACGTCCGCACCCGTACTCATCTTGCCAGACCCCGAACGCGACTACATCATCGAAGCTGACGCCAGCGACCAGGCAGGAGGAGCATTCTTGATGCAAGACCAGGGGAATGGACTGCAACCAATTGCCTATCTCAGCAAGAAACTACACAGGGCAGAACTCAACTACCCGATACACGACAAGGACGCCCTCGCTATCATCATCGCCTTCAAAACGTGGAGATGTTATCTCGAAGGACGCAAAACAACAATCTACACCGACCATTGCAGCCTCAAATATTTGAAGACGCAACCAAGCCTCTCCAGGCGACAGGTCCGGTGGATCGAATTCCTCGAGACACACTTCCACTACGACATCGTGTACAAGCCCGGCCATAAAAATAAAGCAGATGCGCTTAGCCGACCTGCACACGTTGCCGCTATCCAAATTGAAGGGATGAATCCACTCCTGAAGGGACTCTTCACACACGGGTACACCATCGACCCCGAAATCCCTTTGGCACAAAAAAGCGATATCTGCTACAGCGGGACAAGGACATCGCGTACCGGAAAGGATCAACAAAGATCGGGGTACCAAATTGCCTTCCTTTGCACCAAATACTACTCGAAGAATACCACGAAGTCCTGTACGCAGGATACTTTGGTAGCAACAAGATTCTCACCGGTATCGCCAAACACTACTACTGGCCCCACATGGCAGATGACATACAGAAATTCGTCACCTCGTGCACTACATGTCAGCGGATGAAGAGCAGCAAGCGGAAAAAGGCGGGTCTGCTACAGCCTCTTCGTGTCCCAGAACAGCCATGGCAAGTGGTCAGCCTAGACTTCATCACCGGGCTACCAACTACCATAAGCGATCATGACACGATCCTTGTCGTCATCGACAAGTTCTCCAAAATGGGACACTTCATCCCAACACACACAACAGCATGCACCAAGGAGACAGCACAACACTTTGTTTGCTACATCATTTCCCAAAATGGCATTCCAACCATACTCATCTCCGACCGAGACCCTAAGTTCACCAGTAAAATGTGGAAAGAACTGATGTCTCTACTCAGAACCAAACTCGCCATGACCTCCGCATACCATCCGCAGACAGACGGACAGACCGAGCGTCTTAACCAAATTGTGGAGCAACTCCTCCGCGCAGCCTGCAAGGACGAAATCTCCAAGTGGGACTTGCATCTGCCCATCCCGGAGTTTGCCTACAACAATGCTACTCATGCCGCTACTGGATAGACGCCATTCTTCCTCTGTTACAGACACCACCCGCTCACACCACAACAGCCAACCATACCAGCCACAGTCCAACCCGCTCATGATTTCGTCACGACGATGCACAAACTTTGGGATTGGACCCACAAGCGCCTTCTCGACATTCAGCAACAACACAAGCACCAGGCCGATCGCCACCGCACAGACCACACCATCACCGTGGGAGACCGAGTACTGCTCGACACACGCAATCTTGACATCAGCCATCTCCCATCCAAACTACGACCTCGCTTCTGCGGGCCTTTTCTCGTTGAAGCACAGGTCACTCCTGTTACCTTCCGCTTACGCCTGCCAGCTACCTGGAAAATTCACAATGTCTTCCATGTCCAACACTTGAAGCCCTACCGAGACCCCAACACAATCTTCTCTGGACGCCAACCGCCGCCGCCGCCGCCCGTCCTCGTCCATGATGAACCCGAATACGAGGTCGAGTCCGTGGTTGCTCACAGCCGTCGACGGAATAGCAACGTGGAGCTTCACATCCATTGGAAGGGTTATGATCCTTCCAAGGATAGCTGGGTCTCTGAATCCGCGATGGATCACGCTCGTCATCCTCTTCGCGACTACCTTGTCAAGCAGGGTGTTACGTCTACCACCCAGCTTTGAGGGGGGGAAGTGTGAGAGTACGACCCCGTTCCATTCCTTTCTCCTTTCCATCTTCCCTTTCCATTTCATTCCTCCTGATTCATTTGGACTTTGTCTCATTCCATTTGGATTCCTATTCCTCCTTTTTCATAAACCTTTGGTTTATCCTAGTATTATCATTATATCACCGACCAGGCTTGGGGTGTACTGGCGCGCTATATCTAGCGTAATCCTGCCGTAATCCCTTGAATCCAATAGCCTCGCGTGGCTATATGCAGGGTGATTTTATTTTCTAGAAGGGTCTACTCCCTTGGGATAGGATAAACCTGGTTACCTGATGTACTCTAGAAGTATAAAAACGCCTTGTATCAATCGATAGTGCAACTTTTCCTCGACACATTCGATCCTGTGATAGTGGCGTGCCAGGGCAGGTTTGGGCCGAAGCGAATCTGTGGCTAGCTCAAGGCAAAGCCAGAAATGAAGACCGCCCACCCCGCGCGGAAGCGACTCCATGGCGCAAACCGCACGTCATGGTACCACGACATGGAGGTTGAGGTCTAAAGGCGGGTCCTTGAGAAGCGGAAGGTGGGCATGCCCATCTCCATGAAGCAGCTCATGCCTTGGAGCCGCCAAGTGATGCGTGAGATGTTCCTCGAGAATCCGTGGAGGGGCAACTACCACTGGAGCCAGCGTTTTCGCGGTCAATGGAATCTAACCGTGCACGTGAAAGCAAAAAATTGGTCAGAGACTGACCAAGGTGAGAATCCTGTGCCGTGTAATTGAAGTCCATGACTTTGTACGCTTGATGCGATGTGCATTCTATAAATGCACATCTCGTAATCACCTCCCTTCCTGCATTCCCTTCCCGCCAAATCCTACAGACTGTGAGGAGATTCGCTTCATTTTTGGCGTTACGTGCGCGAGAGCAGTGCATAGACGACGTCTGGATCCTGAACGTGGACAAGATGCCACTATGGCAAAAGATGCATGCGGAGCAGGCCATTGACCACATCGGGGCGCGCACCGTCTATGTACGAACCTGTGGTTACCAAAAAGAAAGAGTAACCATGATGCTAGGATGCTTTCCGAGTGGAAAGAAGCTGAAGCCGTGGATTTGCAAGAACCCATCGCAA